TTCGGCTCATTCATATGCTACTTATCCTAACATTTATATATCCGTGTTTGGATACCGCTGTCTACGCTGCGTTGCACGACTCTGGTGGGTCAACAGAATAAGCATTGTTGAAGTTAAACGGAAGATTTCGATAATTGCGGTCTAGCTCGATCTTAACATGTCACCGGATAAGCCTTCTGGATCTACGATGCTCCTTGACACAGCAACAGGTGCGAAAACATCCAGACTGATTAATATAACATTTTGCACGAGACCTTGAAAACACTGACAGGAGACGTGGATATAGTAATCGCGTTAGATCTACAGACGGCGAGACACTGAGCGACATGGTTGGGTGTCGTAAACAGTGGCGTTCGTGCGTCTCCTCAATTTCTTTCCAACCTTAGTCCACTGAACTTCTCCATCTTCTTTTCGAATCCACTTTCAACCTTCCTTTCTTCTCCTATTCTTCATCCCAATGGGCAACCAAAACCGGCGCACGAAAGTGCATGGTTAATGGTTGTTCAAACTGAAACTGAAACAGACGGGGAGTGTGGGGTCAGTCAAATCGATAGTTAGAGACAAAGTGTAATGGCTGGTTGTCGTGAACAGTGTGCAAGTCCAGTTGCCTTACTTTCTGTATCGGTGGGATGTTGTAATTTGCTCTATCGAGCAAATGAGTAGCTGAAAGGCAGCGACCAACTGTTGGACGCCAGTTCAAGGTCAATGCTTGTGTTGATGACCACTGTTTCTGAATGAGCCGAGTTGATCACCAATTCCATTTTCATTTCTTCATAACTCAGTTCTTATTATTCTGTATTTTCACATGGAGTAACTATAGTTTCTTTCTCACTCCTGATTTAATTTTTCTCGCAGGCTGAACGTCAAGCTGTGAATACAGTGATCCAAGGTAGTGCTGCCGAGATTGCCAAATCAGCCATGTTGGCGGTTGAACAGCGACTTGTTAATCAAGCCGGTCGTTGTCGTTTGGTCCTACATGAACATGATGAATTGCTATACGAGGTTCGTTTATCTGACTCCCCTTGGAAAATTAAAATCCTATAAAATCACGTGCCGAACTCTTCACGCCATTTCATTATATCTCTCACAAGAATAACAGTACTTCTCAATAACTTGAGTTACTACTGAAGATGAAGTAGATCTCGTGGTGTTCGTGTACTGCCTAACAGTAAGACAGATCCTACATCGTAGGTTTTACACCGTATTTGAGTATGATAACGGTACCGTTCAATACATGAGCGTCAACATCACGTATGTTTCATGATATTCCCCGTAATATTTTTTTCCAATCGATTACCAGTGGTTCGATTTAAGAATCGAAACATTGGGTTTGAATTGAAGTATTCTATGACGTCAATTCTGTGTGGAGAAATTTGCACTAATTTGCATTCCTCTTTTGTCGTTCTTGGCAGATTACACCCACACGGGCAGCCCGTGACATTGGATCTCTCATACGTATCACAATGAGTTCGATGAGTTCACACTATCGACTGTCTGTTCCGTTACCCGTCAAGTTGCGCGCTGGTTTGAATTGGGCTCAGCTTGAGGAAGTACCCTGGTGAATGGATTCCAATCCAGTGTCCATTACGTCTTTCGGAATTTTGTGATATTCTGTATGATCTTTTCTTTCCATGCTCTTGACCCAGATTTTATTCGAACAATGTGAGAAGAGCCAGATAATGCGAACTGGCGCTCGCTTGAATGGCATTTTGTCATGGTGTTTTATGAATGTGTATCTAATGCTGATATTTTGCCTCCCACGTATTGTTGTCCCTCTATGCACTCATACTAATCAAAATTTCCCTACTCCTACAGCTTTGTTCCTTCACTCCCGGTTTTGCATTTTTAGCCCAATCTATGTTCCTGCAGCATTGTTTTTTTTTCAATTACAAATAGCTTCCGCGGTAGTTTCGGGTTCCTAATGATAGGTTAAAGTTCGCCCAGAATATTTAATACTTCAACAGCCGCGAGAATTTTCTTCTGAACTCACGATGATAATCCGACGTTCAACGGGTATGGTTGATATCATCTCAGTTAAACTTGAACAAACGTGTTAACATTTCGGGTGGCAAATAACGGTCACAAATTAAAGGGGATTTACACTTGATGTAAACATCGGTCGCTATAAATTCACTTCACGACTTGTCGACTTCAAGAACCAGAAGCATGTATGAACCACCCTAATTATGAGGGAAACTGGAAATTTTTGTTTCATGACACGAAAAACTTGTTGTTTTGTTTGTCACACTAATGGAAGTAGTCTGATATTTATGAATTTTGCTAAGGAGAAATATATTTTTCCAATGAGGAGAAACGCAATACCTTTCTGGTCCTCCAGGTAGTATGTGGGCACTCACGCTGCATCGTTTAGCTCAGTTCAACAGGCCAGCTTCTGTTTTGAGATATTCGTGCATTCAACATAAATCATTTTTGAAATTCAATTGCGTGCAGTGACCGGAAATTTGATCACTACTGGACATGTTTCAATGCATTCATCGTACCAGAGATGAAGGTAATGTTCCGGTTTATATTTTATGACTAAGATTCCGCTCATACGATAGTTTTATCTGATCCATGCTTTTATTGTTGGTAAATTGAGATTTACTGAGACTTTACACACTGAGTTGGGATGCTAGTACAAATGTAATCAATATTCACATCCAGTCATGAGTTTTAAAAATTTCAGTTTAAATGTGTTATCGAGCCGCAACTTAAAAAGGATGGATGGTTAGAGTACAAACAACTTGGAGTAGAAGAGTTTCAAGTAGTACCGGTAATAACAGCCGGAACATCATTTCAAAAGGATGCCCCAAAAGTATCGACAGAGTACTTTGCATGTGGTTAGGTTGATACACGAGGATCCTATCCCCCAGAATCCGGCTGTTGTGATTAACAGAGTCCTAGAGTTTGATACTTTTCGGCGTAGGTCTTGGGTTGTGGTCTTTTGACCAATTCGATTACTATTCCCTGTGCACATCAGAATGTCATTTTTCATGGCAGCCATAGATTACCTAGTGGGTCTGCGGCCGAATATATGCTGCCGGCAACAGAGGAAATAAGTCTGTTTGAAGCGGTCCAGAACACGTTTAAGTAACCCAGTTTGCTGTCGAGCCAATGATAGTGCTCGAACACAGTGAACAGTGATTTTCAAATTCCTGTTTGTAGCACGTAGTGTTCTCTGTATTCAAGGTCATATGGAAAGCGACCCATTTGATGCAGTGATAAGTTCTTAAATTTTCAACGTTCAGCTCAAGCTCACGCACGACAGACCATTGGTGAGCAACGGCATAGAGTATTTAATGTGGTTTTCTATTGCTTTCCATGTTTTTGGCGTCGTGCCCCAAGAATATCTGATGGATCGCCTACAAATGCCATGAATAGGTAGTGACCAAATGAGTTAATGTAGAACCCCACGGACTACGTCGTTCAGTTCTGATACAGCTACGGATGAGGTAGTCTGTCAGAAATTTTTCAGTCCCGACATGTAACGCTAATATGTATAGCGCTGGTGCAGCAGTATTCCAGTTAGCACGATGCATAGCATTGCAGAAGTTGATTGTTCCTTTCCACTCATATTGTGCAAGTAACGGATTGATAGCGCGTGATCATTTTTATCGGATAGCCTGTGGTTACACTTCTACATTCTAGCTGGAAATCAGCGACATCAATTCGGACAGAACAAAATGTTCAAAATCGGTTCTCGTAGCTCGGGTGAACTGAATTCTTTTTCGCCGAACTTGGCAATNNTGTTTGCAAACGTTTCATCACCAGTCGAGGTGACATCATCAGTGCTTGTGAAGTGGCAGTCCTTTGCTTGTATAGGTCCATTTGTATGTATTCTCCACCGACCATTTCGTCCCTTGTTCCACGCGGTTCGGCGTTAGACTGGATCACCTCTACACGCCAATGCAACTCAAGGATCAAATGACGCAACCGAAGGGTCACGCTGTGACCTGAGAACGGACCGAAACTGCATTCAGGAAGGAGGGATAACCACCTCACCCCCACGCACTAATTTAACGGCGAACCGAATCGAACACAGTGAGAACAAGGGACAAAACCTGTCGTTAGAGAAGAACACATATAAGCGAACGGATACAAGCAAAGGACTGCCACTTCACAAGCATTGATGATATCACCTCGACTGGTGATGAAACGCTTGCAAACAAATTGCCAAGCTCGGTGAACGAGTAAATTAAATTTAGAACAAGAAGTGTAACTGTGTGCTAGTTCCCAAGAGCACTTCTATGATCACGTTTGTAAATGCGTGAAACAATGTCTTGATTCCACGACTCAAGAACCACCTTTTTGTTCAAAATTCATTGGTGTATATTGGTCGTTATTTTAGATTTTCCAAGGAGCTCAGAGTTTGTGGTCGTAGGCCATCCTCCTAGGATTAATTTCTGTGCAACGCCAAATGTTTGACTTTTACCATTTCAGCTGCGAAGGGTCTCAGGTAGGGAAATGGAGCACTTGGCTACAGAAGTAGAGGCTGCAATCCTACTTTGCCACCTGCAGCAATCTATGCATAAAACTGCGCTTTCAAGCGACAAGCTTGCCTCCGTTGCAGTATTCCTTATTTCACCTTTCTGGTAACGTTAGCATGCTCATACAGATTTGGATCAGAAATAAATTTCAATCACTGTTTCTCGATACACTTTTATCCTCTGACAATGGCTTCTTAACATGATGTAGTTATTCCCATTGTCGTTATGCAGATTCTCGCAAGGAGGGATTCCTCTAAGTCATCCATATATTTGTTTGGTTTCGAACGATTGGTAATCGCGTATGGGGTTTGCCGATAAGCCTGGTCTTTGTTTTTTGGTTAGTGTCGATAAATCTTCGCTAGGACACCGATCCATTACACTTCCGGGAGAAACTCATTGCTTAAATATCGCTAGTTCCCGTAGTTTTGCACGACCGTTTCTCGGATAGCAGCTTTTCGTAGGTGGCATTGAGTGATAAGTACAGTGATTGATCCAATCCAGAGTTGGAATCCATAGTCGGTCACAGACCTGAGTGGTTTCCCCCAAATGTCCTATTCGTCCATGTCCATGTCGAATATGCGCATCTGTGGTTGGGCGCCATTAGGATATGGACGAACCACTAATTGGCAGTGCTGAAGTAGTTCCGATAGCTTTCAATACTAAAGCACCGTAGTCAGGAAGCCAGTGGCTTATTGTGACTTTCGGCATTGGGCACCAGCGATCGAACAACGGGTCGCTGTTAGACCTGAGGCAGCTATGTTGCGAAAGTATATTTCAAGACGAGGGGGATCAGCGGCGTGGAAACCATGGAGTTAGTTCATCAGCTTAAATCGCT